ATTCAGAAAATGCCTCTCAGAGTATCCCAAACTCAGAGTATCAAGTACCCCTTCACACAGTGTACTTCTGTCTCACAGTGTAGCCCCACTCTCACAGGGCACCCCTCTCTTACAAAGCACCCATCTCAGGAGCACCCCTCTCACACAACACACCACTCTGTCAGGACATTCTCTCATGGGGCCCCCTCTCTCACAAGTCAACCCTCTCTCACAGGGCAACAATGCTCTCTCACGGGGCACCCCTCTCTCATAGGGTATCCCTCTCACAGGGCCCTCTCTTACAGGACACCCCTTTCACACAGGATACCCATCTCATAGAGCACCTCTCTCACAGGACACCCCTCTTTCAAGAGGGCACTTCTCTGTCACAGAGCACCTCTCTCACAGGATACCCCTATTTCACAGATACCCCTCTCACAGGACACCCATCTCTCAGCGAAACCCTCTCTCACAGGGCACCCTGTCTCACAGGACACCTTTCTCACAGGGAACCCTCTCACTGGGAACCCCCTCTCTCACAAGGTATCCCACCCCTCCCTCACAGGCACTCTCTCCCACAGGACACCCTTCTGCCACTGAACAACCCTCTCACAGGACACCCGTCTCAGACAGCACCTCTCTCACAGGGCACCCCTCTCAGGGCATCTCTTTCTCACTTGACACCCCTTTCACAGGGCACCTCTCTTTCTCACAGGGCACCTCTTTCACAGGACACCCCTATCTCTCAGGACATCCCCCTCACAGAGCACCTCTCCCATCACAGAGTATCCATCTCAAACCATATCCTCTCACAAGTGATCCCTCGCAAGACATCCCTCTGACAGGACACCCCTCTCATATGACACCCCTCTCTCACAGGACACATGACATGTGGGGACACCCCTCTCACAGAGCACCCTCTCACATGGCACCCCTCTCTCACAGGGCACCCCTCTCACAGAGCATTCCTCTCACAGAACACCCCTCTCTCAAAGGACACTCCTCTCACAAGAGGCTACTCACAGAGCACCCCTCTCACAGGACACCCTCTCACAGAGCACCCCAGCTTCACAGGGCACCCCGTCACAGGACACGACATGTGAAACGCCCCTCTCACAGAGCACCCTCTCTCATAGGGTACCGTGCCTCACAGGACACCCCTCTTAGAACAACTCTCTCACAGAGCATTCCTCTCACAGGGCAACTCTTTCACAGGACCCCTCTCTCACAGAATGCCTGTCCACAGGACACCCCTCTCACGGGGCACCCCTCTTGGGGTGCCCGTCTTACAGGGCATCCCTCTCACAGGACACATGACATGCGGGACACCCCTCTCACAGGGCACCCGTCTTTAACAGGACATCTGTCTCAGAGCACCTCTCTCACAGAGCATTCCTCTCTCAGGGCACCTCTCTCCTAGGGCACCCATCTCACAGAACACCCCTCTCTCACAGGACACCTCTCTCACAGGGCACCTCTTTCTCACAGGGCATTCCTCTCACAGGGCCCACTCTTCCACAGGACACCCCCTCACAGGAGACCCTTCTCACAGTACGTCCCTCTCACAGGACACTCCTCTCACACAGGGCGCCCCTCTCTCATAGGGCGCCTTCTCACCAGGCACGCCTCTAACAAAGCGCCCTTCTCACAGGACACCCTTCTCTCACGGGGCACCCTTCACACAGGACACGGGTCTCTCATGGGCACCTGCTCCATGGTGCTCAAAGTGCCTTGCCCCAGCCTTGGGGCCACAGCAGTGTGACTGTCGCCATGTCCCCTCACAGCCTGGTTGGATTCTGTCAGCAAACAGACAAGTTCTTTCCAGAGCCCCTGAGGACGGCAGCACTGGAGCTGGGGGCAGAGCTGCCCTGTGGCCCAAGTGTTGTCACAGATAACCAAGCTCAGAGTCCAGGGAGGGGGAGGGGGCAGCGAGGACGGTGCCAGACACCATGACGCAGGACGGCCGGGGAACCCCCCAGCTCCCTTCAGACACGCGACACGGCTCCACCTGTCCCACCAGCCCCGGCGTCGCCCCAGTCCACCCCGCCCAGCTGCAGTGCAGCCACACCCAGAACCCACGAGCCCTGCTCCTGGCTCTGGCGGGACAAGAGACACCCCCTCCGCCCCCCCCCCCCAGTCTGCCCCGTAGACCAGCCTGTCACGGAAGTCAACCCCGACCAGGCAGGACCACCTCATCTTCCCAACAGCCCCCAGCCTGGGTCTGCAGAGTCCTTGCGGGTACCTGTGGGCGGGAACCTACCATCACAGTGCGGGTGGTACGAAGGCCACCCGGAACCAGGGCAGGCTCCCCAAGCTCATGAGTGCCAGGCGTCAGGTGGCCGCCCGGACTTGGGGACCCCAGGGAGCGGGTCACTTGGCCAGGAGGGGCCAGGAGCGGAGGCCGATCAGAAGGGCAGACGACAGTGAAGAGGACACATGCCCGGGTGACCACGGCTGAGCCCCCAGCTGTCACTCGGCACTGGTGCCGTGGGCCCGTGCCCGGCATGGAGGCAGGGAAACCCAGCGCCTGCACAAAGTAGGGCGAGTGTGGCCCGGGCCCGACACCCCTCGGACAGGAAGACTCCACGGAAGACTCTGGAAGGCAGGGGTCCTCACCCTGAACGGTGCTGTGGGAGGCGGAGGGCACCCCGGCGCCTGGAAGGGCTGACACTGGGGCGCTGTGCTGCCTGCAGGGGGCTGGGGTGAGGTCAGCCCTGGGCACGCGAGGCCCTGCCCCTCTCCCTGAGCTGCCCTTGGGGGCAGAGCCAGCAACTGTCCCGGGACTGGCAGCTGCCACCATCCGGCCTGGGGGGCCCCCCACCCCCCGCCTCAGCAGGCTGGAGGGGGCTGGGCGAGTGGGTGTGCACTGACCGGATCAGACGGGCAGGGCCGACCCCCGCGGAGAGGACCGGGCTGGGCGCTGGGCACAGGCGCCCGCCAGATCGGGGAGGGGGCAGAGGTCGCCAAAGTGCCCCCGCGCCAGCCGGGGCCAGGGGCGCATGAGGGAAGGGACGCACACGCGCCCGGCTCGGCCCACCCGCCGGCTCCCGGGTCTCCTATTATGGGCATGAGCGGGCCGCGGGGATCCCCGGCTGGGCTGCCCGCGGTGGACCCGAGGCCAGGCCGGCCCGGGCGTGGCCCCTACCTTTGTACTTCTCCCGCACCTCCTCATACGCCTGGATAAAGTCCTGCTCCTCGGGGGGCTGCGGCGGGGCGGCCATGCGGGCGGCGGGGCGCAGAGCGCGGGCGGGCTCCGGGCGGGCGGCCACTCTGCCCCCGCGGCCGCGCGCGCCGCTTAAAGGGCCGCCCCCGCCCCGCCCCGCACCCAGGATGCCCCACGGGCGGGGCGGGGCCGCGAGCCGGGCGGCCACCCGGGCGCCCCTAGCCGGCCCCTGGTCCCTCCCCCTGCCCCCGCTCGGTCCCCGCGCCGCGACACCGGCCACACCGGAGACAGAGACGGCGGCGGGCCGGGCCACGCAGCAGAGGCGGCGCGGGGGGCGCCCGGGCGGGACAAGCCGAGGCCAGCGGCCAGGGGCAGCCGGGGGGGGGGGTGGAGCGGGGGGGCGGGAGGGGCCGCCCGCAGTTCTCCTGTCCTCCGCGGAAAGCGCCTCGCCCTGCGCGACCGGAGACAGCGGCCGTGCCCTTCGGGGACGGGTCCCGCGCCTGCCTGAGACCCCGCTCCCGGAGGCGGCCCCTGCCCGCGGCGCGGCGCCCTTCCGACCCAGGAACCCAGAAGGAACCCGCGGGGCAGGTGGGTGGGCCGCGGGCCCGCGCTGCGCGGCCAGCAGGTGGCGCCCACCGCGGCCGCCCCCGGCCCCACCTGCAGCCCCGCCGACTCACCTGCGATGCGCACGACCGCGCGCTCCGCGGGGTCCAGCACGGCTCCGTTGCCCCCGGCGCCGCCTCCGCTCCGCCGGCTGCGCTGCGTCTTCCCCAGGTTCCAGGGCAGCGTGTCCCCGGGGCTGGGCGAGCCGCTGCCTCCGCTGGAACCGTCCTCGGCCACCGGCCGCACCTCGGCGTCCTCGCCCGACATGGCCTCCTGGGGCGGCGGGCAAACAAGGGCCACGGCTCCAGGCGCCCTCCCCGCCACCACCCCCCGGGCGGCCCCCTCTGTCCCCAGCAGCACGGGCCTCCGCCGCTGGGCCCGCACGCTGACCTCCCCTCCTCCTGGTGGCCCCCGGGTCCCGCACCGCTGCTCCCCTTCTCCCTGCCGCCCTCAACGCGACCCTCCGCGCCCAGGACACTGACCGCACCCTCCGCGCTGCCTGACGGATGGGGCCGCGTACCCCGCCGTCGGACAGCCCACAACCTCGACCCCGCTCCCCGGGCCCCGCAGCGCCGTCTATAAATAGCCGAGCCGCAGCGGCGTGAGCCGCGGGCCCCGGGCAGCCGCGCCCAACGCCCTGCGCATCCCCCCCCACCCCCCACCCCCGGCCCGGCTGAAAGGCGCTCTGTCCGCGCGGGGCTGGGGGCGCCGGGGGCACAATGTGGCTCTGTGCCGCCGCCCCGTGCCCGCGGCCGGCCCGCCCGGCCCACACCCGGTGCCACCCGTCCAGCTGCGCACTCGCGGGCGAGCGGCGAGGGGCATCGCCTACCTGGCGCTCCGCGGGGCGAGCTGGGTCCCGCCGCCCCGAACGCACGGCTGCCCCGAGCGCGGAGGCGGCGCAGGCGGGGCGAGCCCGGAGCCCCGCCCCGGCCGCTCAGCTAGCGCCGCGCCCGCACCGCCCGGTGCGCGCGAGCGCGCGGTGCCCGTGCGGGCCTGGCGCCGGGTGCGCGCGGGGCCGCGCCAGCGCGACTCCGCCCCGACTGCGGGCCGGAGGCTGGGGGACGCGATCGGGACTGGCGGCGTGGGGGTCGCCTGAGCGCGTGCTTGCCTGGCCGTAGCAGGCTGCTGGACACTGGCCTGCCGCCCCCAGCCCCGGCCAGGATCGCCCCCCCAAAAAACAGAAGTCGGAGCTGGCCCGGCGGGCTGAGCGAGTTCAAATACATGTTTATTGCAGCGAGGAGCGGCCGGCCGGGTCGGGCCTGGGGGCGGGGAGTCCGATTCCGGGGCTCTGCTGACCTCTGGTGGTCGCGGGCCCACACTCCACCCAGCCCCGCTGTACGGGGCGTCCGGGATTAGGTGGCTGGGGTGGGGCCCCCTGAATCCGAGGGCAGGTGCCGGCAGGTGATGAGGTGGGTGGGCAGCGCCTGCGTGTCGTGGAAGATGACGAAGATGCTGGGCTGGCGCAGGCAGTCCACGGCGCTGTCGAAGCGCAGGGGCTCGGCCCCGCTGGGGTCTCGCAGAGGGGGCGCCCGCAGCCCGCGGCAGCCCTGCGCGTAGTCGCCGGTCAGGACCCGCGCCACGAACACCGCCTTGTGGCCGTCAGCGTCCGGCGGCGAGTAGCGGTCCTGGACCGACAGGGAGGCGCGCCTGGCGAAGTACACACCCTGGCCGTAGAGCGTGCCTGGGGCGGGGTGCGGGTCAGGGCCGAGGGGGGGCGGGGGGCACAGCGCCCGGCCCCGCCAGCCCGCACCGCACCCTGCCCTCCCGGCCTCACCGTTGCGGCCGCAGAAGCTGCGGTTGAAGCCGTGGGTGCAGATGTCGGCGACCGCAGTCGCCGACGTGCCGTGGTACAGGACGTGCTCCAGCGGCCGGCGCTCACAGCGCTGCTCCAGCTGCTCTCGGTGCAGCTCGTACTGGTGCTGCAGCAGCGGGTGGCTCACGCGCTCCACCTGCGGGGGCGTCATCAGGGCCGGGCCGCTCCTGAGGGGCCTGTAGCTGCGGGCACCCAGCCCAAGCCCAGGCCTACCCGTGGGCTTCCACGCAGGGAAGACCGGGAAACCCCATAACTGCCAGCGCAGATCCCACACAGCTCCTGAGACCTGGCGTTGGTGACGCAGGGCCAGCACTGGGGGTGGCGCTTCAACAGGAAAATCCTTAGGCCAGGAGAAGCTGAACCCCACTCCCTGACCCAGGGAGGCATCCTAGCCAGTGGAGTCTGGGCGGTCAAACAGAGGAAGGGGTGCAGGCCAGACAAAACTAAAGAGGAGCTGTGAGCCTGCCAGGTGGCGGCTCCGCAGGCCAGTCCCCTGCAGCACAGGGGGCAGAGGGGAGGGCGGCCAAGGCCAAAACCACAGAGGTACCCATCCCTCCAGTGTGAGTGGAACAGCCCCACCCACCCCTCACTGTGAGGGTAACAGCCCCACCCATCCTCACACCAGCCTCCCCAGGCAGCTCATGGCTTCCCAAGAATAAGTTTGTTCTCCAAGAGGGAAGAAGAGCCATGTCTGTCCCAACTGGCACATCTGTCCCTGTTCTGTGTGACCCTGACAACATCAGGGCAAAAATGATGAATGGTGAGGACACACCAGTGCACGGCACGGGGGCGGAGATGAACGCTCACAGCCTCACCAAGGACAGCTGCAAATAAGTCTCCAAAGAAAGGAGGAAAGAGTGTCCCCAGGTGCTCCCCAACCCCATGGTACAGGAAAGAACCCAAGCGTGGACCTGGAAAAGGAAGAAGGTAAAAGCATTTGGAGCATGCTTTTACCGAGAAAGTAAGAGCATGTCAGGCTCGGGTATCCTCGCATGCGGCACAGGCCTGACGATGGATTTCATGCCTGGCTTCCTTGGGAGCTCACGGCCATAACAGGCCATCAGCTGTAAGAGGCAGGGAGAAGCCCTGTGGCTAGAGGAGGCCTTGGCTGCTGGCCTGACTCCAGAGTGAAGAGCAAGGGCGCCGAGGGTGGCGGGAGGCCTGGCCAGGGAATGCGACTCCCTCAGACTGCTGACTGAGGAGCTTGTTGGAGGGAGCCGCCACACAGCACTCAGTCTTCCCTCAGTACAAATTGGCAGCTGCCAAACCCGAAGAAAGGGAGCCTGGGTCCTTAGGGTCGCCTGGAGGCAGCCTAGTGGAAGATGGGGAGGCGAAGTCTGGACTATTTCAACTCAGTGGCGCTTGAGTGGGGCCCCTACTGTGCCCCTGCTCCCCACCAGTCCCCCTCTCCCCCAGCCCTGTACTCTGCGCTAGGGACACCGGACCACCCTCTGCCCATCCCTTCCTCCAAAGCTGCTGCTTTCCAGGCCTGTCCCTGTCCTCAGCCCTGCCCACCCTTATCCTCAACTCCCACCTGCCTTCAACTCTGGCCTCTTACTTTTTTTTTTTTTTTTTGCTTTTTGGGTCACACCCGCTCGGCGATGCACAGGAGTTACTCCTGGCTCATGCACTCAGGAATTACTCCTGGTGGTGCTCGGGGGACCATATGGGATGCTGGGAATCGAACCTAGGTCGGCTGTGTGCAAGGCAAGCGCCCTACCCGCTGTGCTATTGCTCCAGCCCCTCTAATTTACATTGTTGCCTGTGACCCTCCCCTAACAGAACCCTGTCAGTGCTCCCTCTGGCTGCATGCACACACACACACACACACACACACACACACATGCACACACACGCACATACTCATGCACACATGCATGTGCTTACACACACGCATGATGTATTCACACATGCACACATTACACACACGTATGTGCACACATACGCACACAGTCCCCCCACCATCTGCCAGTCTGGGGAGTGGTTGGGCTTCACTCTGCTCCCACCCTTTTTAGTGTGCTCCCACAATAGTGTCTTTGGAAAGACATCTATTCTCAGAACAGGCCATTGCAGCTGAGGGGCGGAAGGGACTGCAAGGTCCCTGAGCTGTGGAAAGTGGTCAGCCAGCGCTGGGAGAGCCGAGAGCCCCGGGAAGCCCCAAACCCAGCTTGCTGGACCATGCTCCTCAGAGGAGCCACCAGATGGCAGCACAGCCCCGCACCTGGGCGTGTCCAAGCCCAGGCTTCGTCGGCACGGCAGAGCCAGATGCTCAGAATGCAGGCCTGCACCAGCCCCCTGCATCTCCCAGCCTGCCCCGCACTGCGCAGCAACCCAGACTGGCCCTGACAGAGCAAATGCCCAGTGAGGACGCTCCTGAGCTAGGAGGACACCGACAGGCCACTCACCTTGACCACACGGATGCTGCTGGGGGCAGTGTCCAGGGTGTCGTAGAAGGCCTGCACCACCTCGTGGAACTCCCCACTGCCTTCGGCCACACTCTCCAGCCTACCCAAGGGTGTCTTCAGCTGTGGCTGTGGCTCTGACCATTGGGGGCAAGAGTGTCAGGGCCAGGCCCGGGCGCAAGCCCGAGTGTGGGGCCCCCACCCCTAAAACTAGGGCCCAACTCACGAGTGGGGTTGGAAGCCACAGCCACGCTGGCCAGACTCTGATGACCGGGGCCAGCCAGCAGCGCTGCTAAGTGGCGGGCTGCCCTGGCAGGCTGCTCCCCAAAGCCACGGAGGACGGTGCGGTCGCCATAGTGGACCACAGTCACGCCGTGGCGCTGCTCCAGGCGCCCCCAGAGCTCTGCCGGCAGTGGGTGGGCTGAGGGCCCCACCGTCTCCTCCCGGAGCTGTGTCTCCAGGGCAGCCTCCAAGGCCCGATGTAGTGCATCCACATCCTGCTCGAAGGGCACGTGGACATCCAGCTGGGCGCTGCCCTCTGGGCCTCCAGCCTGGCGCACCTCTGCCTCCAGCGTGGGCGTCTCCAGCAGGGACAGGGCCAGGGCTTGCTGCAGTGCCTGCGCCTCCTCCCGCGCGGCCTCCTGGCCAGGCGGCCCCAGGGAGCGGTGCAGGGCCAGCTGCAGGGCCGCGGCCTCCTCCAGGCCAGCCCCGGGGCCCGGAGCCGCGGGCGCCTCATGCAGGGATGCCGGCTGCTCCTCTTCCTGGGGCTGCTCGTCCCCTGGCTCCAGAGGGAAGCAGTCCTCCCCATCCTGGCCCCCAAGCGTGGCCAGTAGCTCCCGGACTTCCTCTGTGGCAGGGAGAGACGCCGGTGAGTCAGGGGATGGGATAGGCAAAGGGGAGGGGTCTGGCAAAAGTGGGGAGCAGGCAGGAGACAAGAAGGTCCCGGGGACGCAGGGTCCCTGGGGTGCCCTACCCAGGCTCACTTCCTCTTGGTCACTGCCTGTGCCGTTCATGGTCCATGCTGTGTGGGAAAAGGTCTCGGTGGGGTCCACCTGGCGGGAGGGAGTGTCAGATGCCCCTGGTCTCCCAGCTGAGCGAGGGCAAGTGGCCCGGGGCCTGACCAGGGGCAGGGCTCATCCTACCTCAGAAGGCTGGGTGCCCATGGTGGCCAGGGCCAGACGCTCTGTCACAAACACACACTGGAACCGAGTCTCCAGGTCCTGGAGCAGGCTCTGGCCATCGGTGCTCAGCAGGAAGTGGGCACTGCCTGGGTGTGCCAGGCTCAGCGTGTGGCAGCTCACAGTGCCCAGCAGGCTCTGCAGGAACTCCTCAGCCGCCTGGCATGGGGCTGGGGCGCCACAGAGCTGCAGGTGAAGGGACCGCAGCAGGGGGTCAGGCCTCACACGGCACTCCGCGGGAGAGCGGGGGGCCGAGGGCTTGATTCTCACTCACCCGAAAGCCAGTCACTTCGGAGCCCTCCAGCGGAACGAGGCTCACATCCCCCAGGCCTGCCAGCAGGTCGGCGTGGTGCAGCTGCAGGAAGCGCAGCGCTCCGGGCTCCATGGACAGCACCTTTTCCACCTGGGCCGCAGGGCTTGGCCACTCCACAGCCCCGGGCCCCTGTCCTTGCGCGTGAAACCCTGGGTGGGCCCCCGTCTGTCCCGCTGGGCTCCCGGGCCCTACCCGCAGTGGGGTCCCCCTGGGCCTTGCCTGGCCGACGCGCTCTGCAGACTCTGTGGGCACAGCAGTTCTGGTGGGCCGTGCCACCTCCTCGGAGCCCACCATCACTGTCCCTGCACCTTCCGGTGTCCCTGGGAGATCAGGGTCCAGGGTCCCTCCGTTGCTGTCCTCGGCCGGCCCCTCGGGCTCCAGGACATCGTAGTGGGGCACAAGGTGCAGCTCCCTGCCATGCAGCCGGTGTTCCTGCCGCAGCACCCGCTCAGCCACTGGGGAGAGGGGAGGTGTGAGGCTCCCGTGGGGGGGGTGTATCCCATGCGTCTGTGTGCACGTGTGCATGTGAGCGGTGCTGCCTGGCGCAGCCACTCACCCTGCCACTGCTGGAAGGTGGCCACAGTGCCACCACATCCCTGCAGGCTGTGCAGGCCCTCCAGGGTGCCCCCTCCACTGCGCCGCTGGTTCTCCAGATACAGCTCCAGGAGCGGCTGCTCCTCGGGTGATGTGTCCCCCACCACACGTACCGCGCGGGCCTGCGGCACCCGGGCCAGAGATACCGATGCCCCCTCAAGGGCCAGCGTGCTGGCTTGCTCCTCCAGGACACAGATGTCTGCGGGGGAGGGTCAGTCAGCTCAGACACTTTTCCCAGTTGCCCCTCCCCCTCCGCAGCTCACCTGCCTCCTCGAGGGGCTGAGATAGTTGGACCAGAGCGCGGTCAGGGCGCGGGCTGTCCAGGGCATGGCAAGGCTGGCCCGGGAGCCCCGCAGCCTGCAGCAGGGCCTGCACATACTGTTCCAGTCGCTGGGGTGCGATGCCAGGGGGCAGTCCTTGGAGCAGCAGGCGGGCAGGGGCTCGTGGGGGTGCGGACCGCAGGCTCAGCAGCACACCACACAGACGGTGCTCCTGGGCCAAGACCCTGGATGCATCTGGGGGGAGAGGGGGGATCCTCAGAACCGCAGGGGGCACTGCCCGTCCTCAGCCCCTCACCTGCCGCCTCTCACCTGCTCTCTTCTGGAAAGTGAGCACACCCCCGCGGCCAAGTCTCTGCCAGCTCAGCACGGGGCCGCCCCCGGAGCGCCGGCCGTTCTCAAAGTACAGCGTGAGCAGCTCGTCGCTGACGCCTGGGGGCAGCCCGCTGAGCTCCACTGCAGCCCCCAGCTCCTCAGCCATGGCTCTCCCGGCGGCACCTCCCCCTGATCACGGCCTCCAGCCGGGCGGGGCGGAAGTCCAGGAAAGCAAAAGCGAAACCTGGTGGCAAGGGAGGGCCCAGCTCAGCTCCCGCCTCTCGAAAGGGAGGGCCAAGGTGGTCCTCCCTCCTCCAGCCTCCCTGACCCTCACAGCCAGTCGCCTGCACCTGCCCTCGGAGGGCGCCCCTCCCCCCTCAGCTCTCTTCACCCCCATCGCCGGATCCTCACAGCCCACCTGCGTACACACCCCCTCCTCACTGCCCCTGCGGACACTTGCATCTGCCCCACCTTTGCCGGTGGTCCCTGTGCTATCTAGCACCCACCTCCACCTGTGCTGCTCCCCCAGAGCCCTGAGCACCTGAGCCACCCCCACCGTCCCGCCCCACAGAGAGGGCAGGACCAGTCCTGGAAAGCACCAACAGCTGTGGCCACACTGGCCTGGTCTGGTTATACAGCTGAAGTTCTCTGGAGAAACTGCTGCCCAGGACCTACCCAGGCTCAGCCCACCCCCTGTCCCCAGGCCAAGCTGCAGCCCCCTCTCCAGCCCAGCAGACTCTGGCACCTGCCCACGCCCTCCACCTGCCTGGAGTCATGTTGCCCTTGCCCTCAGAGAGCTCTCAGTGGCAGATTTAACTTGAAAGCCAGAGCGACAGTATAGCAGATAGGGCACTTGTACACGCAGCCAACCCTGGTTCCCTCAATATGGTCCCTGAGCCACCAGGAGTGATCCCTGAGTGCAGAGGCAGGTGTGGCTCCCAAAACAACTAGTATGAACCTGGAAGTCCCTAAGAAAGGCTGGGACGGACGAGCCTGGCAGTAGAGGCTGGTGAGACCCTGAGGGCCACAGCAGTGGCACACGCCAAGGGGGAGGGCCCTGATTCACCTGGCCTAGCCTGGCCTGGACTCGGGCTGTGAATTTTCTTTAAGAGGCTCCTCAACTGTATGATACCTGGTTCTACGAAACTCAGGCCACCCCTGCTCTCTCTGTCCGTTCCCTTATTCCCTTGTCACAGCCTCGACCTTCTCTTCATGTTGCACACAACATCCGGGACCCAGGGTTACAGCCACTTGGCACTGTCCACAGGGTCTGGGAACCCCAAAACCGGTGGTCATGGGAGATCAGCCCCAAGGGATGCTCCCACCATCACGATCATGATCACGATCATCCTCTTGTTCGTCAATTTTCTCGAGCAGGCACCACTAACGTCTCCTTCGTCCTACCACTGATATTTTAAAAGTGCCCATATTCAAGACTCTTTCAGGGTTAGGAGAATGAGACCCATCATTTTTACTGGTATTTGGTATATTGAATATGCCATGGGGAGTTTGCCAGACTCTGCCGTGTGGGCAGGTTACATTCCTCAGCCTGCCAGGTTGTCCAAAGTAAGAATGAGATAATAAGATAAGTAATCCCATCAACGGCCAAGACCCAGAGATGATAAAACCCAGCTCCCAGAAGAGAACAGTGCAGTCTCCTGGCCCCGCGCCTGGCTGTCCTCGCCAGGGCCCCTTAGAGGGGGGCAGGTTAGTTTCCCTCCCCGCCCCGAGCAGAGCTCTGGCAGCCAAAGACCTCCAGAACCAGCCACAACCATGCTGAGACCACTCTCCACATGCATGAAGGTACTGGCAGAGGAACAAAGACATACGGGTCCCGGGGCTGAGATCTCCAAGCCTGCTTGGATCAGGGCTGAGCATCCTTCACCCAGATCCTCCATCTTCCAGTAGGCAGGGGTCACACCCACCAACTGGCCACCTGGCGCCGTGTAATCCCATCAACGGCCAAGACCCAGAGACTATAAAACCCAGCTCCCACCATACAAGCATAAAACACAGCTACTGGTGTTGGACACCCACTCACTACACCCCACGGTGGTGGGGTGGGGGGACCACAGCAGAGTCCTGAGCCCAGGAGCCTGGAAGCAGGACTAGGGACAGCCTCCCAGCGGCTGAGATGAGCTCAGCCATTTCACAGGTCTGCAGTGGGTCTGGGCTCACTGACAGAGAGGACGCCACAGGAAGTCAGGCCTGGCTACGGGAACGCTCCGAGGGAAGGGGAACACCAAAGGGGAAGAAGATGCTGTCGAAGGGGAAGGAGGAAGCAGCACTGCATGCAGATCGCAGGCTCAGAGTCCTCACAAAGTCCCCCACTCCCTGAGCCTTGGTGCCAGCAGAGGTGCCAGCAGCTCTGGCAGGAAAGTTGCCAGCCGCCCCGCACGGAGCCCGGCCCCGTCCCCAAGCCATGGCCCCGCCCCATCACACGGCCCCGCCCCCGCCGCCCCGGCCCCGCGGCGTCTGCCAACCGCGGGCGCCGCCCCCGACGCCCGGGGCCCGCCCCGTCACAAAGCCCCGCCCCGTCACAAGGCCCCGCTGCGTCTCCGGACCGCAGGCCCCGCGGAGGCGCCAACTGGGTGCGGGTGCGGTGCGCGCGCTGCGGCCTTTGACCGCGCGGCCGCGTAGCGGACACGGTGCGCACCAGCTCCGGGCAGCCGGTGAGTCCCAGCCCCGGCCGGGCGGCGGTTCCGAGCCGCCGGAGGCCCGCCGGGCCGCCCCCGACCCCCGCGGGCCCTGCGCATCCGAGCGGCGCGGCCCGCGGGGGGCGGGGGCGGCGGAGACGGGGGAGGGCTGCCCGGCGGCCCCCGGGGACGGGAGGCGGTGGCTGGGCCCGCGCCGGCTCCCCCCAGCCGCAGGGCCGCCGCCCCCGCCCGCTTTGTTCCCCGCACGCCTGCAGCCGTTCCGCACCCCCGCACCCCCGCACCCGCTGCTCTCCGCGCCCGCCGGGCCCCGGCGGGGCCTGCTGCCCCGGCTCTCGGGGCGCGCAGATGGCCGAGGGATTTGCGGGACTCAAATAGTCGCTGGCGAGGGCCCCGAAAGCGGCTTAGGCTCGGCCGCGAGGTGCGGAGGCCCCACCCGGCCCGGGGGCTCCAGGGGCCGTGACAAGGCTCCTCCGGGCGCGGCTGCGGGCACAGCCCGAGCCCCGGCCCCGCGGGCGGCACCTCGCCCGGGCTGTCCCTCCGTCACCTTGGAGCTGGCTGCAGCGGCCCGGGCTGCGGGCCTGCGGCCAGCGCGCCGCGTCCCCAGGGCCGCCGCTCCCCTACTGCCGGGGGCTCCCTGCGCCCCGGGCAAAGGTCTTGCTTCCCCGGTTCCTCCCGGGCACCGGCGGCGACGGTCACCGCGGCTGACTGTTCTCTCTTCCTCCTCTAGGGGGAGCTCACGCAGCCCGAGACCATGCCCCATGAAAAGAGTTTCTTGGTATCTGGGGACAACTATCCTCCCCCCAATCCTGGATATCCTGGGGGTCCCCAACCCTCCATGCCTCCCTACCCTGGAGCCCCATACCCCGGTTTCCAGCCTTCTGCCTATGGCCAGCCTGGGTATCCCCAAGGCCCCGGCCCCTACCCCCCAGGAGGGTACCCTCAGGGCCCCTATCCCCCCGGGGGGTACCCCCAGGGCCCCTACCCCCAAGAAGGATACCCCCAGGGCCCTTACCCACAGAGTCCATTCCCCCCCAATCCCTATGGACAACCGCAAGTCTTCCCAGGAATGGAGCCTGGCTGTGAGTAGTGGGCTGGGGACAGGGGGTGGGGTTCCCGGGCCCCCAGTGGGCACTCACCCAGCCCCACCTCCCCCACCCCCCAGCGACTCACGGAAACTATCACGAAGAGGGACCGCCGTCTTACTATGACAACCAGGACTTTTCTGCCACCAACTGGGATGACAAGAGCATCCGCCAGGCCTTCATCCGCAAGGTAGGCCGAGCAACCCGGCCTGGGTGGGGGGCGGGATCTTGGGGCGGGGCCTCACGCAGGGCCACTGAGCCCCCTCCCTCTGCAGGTGTTCCTGGTGCTGACCCTGCAGCTGTCAGTGACTCTGTCCTCCGTGGCCGTGTTCACATTCGTCGGGGAGGTGAAGGGCTTTGTCCGGAAAAACGTCTGGACCTACTACGTGTCCTACGCATTTTTTTTCGTCTCCCTCATCGTCCTCAGCTGCTGTGGGGAGTTCCGGCGAAAGCACCCATGGAACCTCATTGCTCTGGTAAAGCCACGCCCACCCACCCCAGCCCGGCCCCACTGCCAGGATCCGGGTAACCGATGCCCTCACCAGGCAATGTGTCCTCCCTGCAGTCAATCCTCACCGTCAGCCTGTCGTACATGGTGGGCATGATCGCCAGCTTCTACGACACCGAGGCCGTCATCATGGCTGTGGGCATCACCACGGTGGTCTGCTTTACAGTGGTCATCTTCTCCCTGCAGGTGAGGGCCCTCCCCTCCCCTGGGCCCACTGGCCTCTGTCCCTGGGCACCCTCAGGCTGTGGGCCCTGGTGGCAGCAGGCCCTCTGTGCCTGTCCCCTGCAGACCCGCTATGACTTCACCTCCTGCATGGGTGTGCTGCTGGTGAGCATGGTGGTACTGCTGATCTTCGCCATCCTCTGCATCTTCATCCGCAACCGCATCCTGGAGATCGTCTACGCCTCCCTGGGCGCCCTGCTGTTCACCTGCGTGAGTGGGGGCCCTAAGGGGCGGGTGGCTGGGTGGGGCTTGGCCCTCAACAGCACTGTCCCCCAACCCTGCTCCAGTTCCTGGCTGTGGACACCCAGCTGCTGCTGGGGAACAAGCAACTGTCCCTGAGCCCTGAGGAGTACGTGTTTGCCGCCTTGAACCTGTACACGGACATCATCAACATCTTCCTGTACATCCTCACCATCATCGGCCGCGCCAAGGAGTAGCCCAGCCCCTGCTTAGGCATAGGGCTGGCCTGGACCCTGCCCTGGCATGGCAGTGCCAACCGAACCTCCCCTCTCTGGCCCCAGCCTGGGAGGGTTCCCGCCCCTCCTGTGTGTATACTGCAGATACTCCATGTGGGCCCACTCTGCCCGCAGCACGGCCCCTTCCAGCCCCCCCCCCTCAGGGCCACCCCCGACCACTCACTGCTGCATGAGCCCCACCTGCCAGCCCGCCCCAGGTCCTAGGGGAGAGGGAGTGAGCCAAGAGGTGAGGGTGCACGTCCCCCTCCCGTCCCGGCTCCCCTGCCTGGTATAGACGCCCCTTGCCCCAGCCCCGGTGCCCTTCTGTGCCAAGGTCTCCTGCGCTGAGCCCGAGGCAGAGGCTGGAACCCCACACGGAGGACCCCTCCCTTTCCCTGCTGTCTCAAAACACCAATAAATGGGACCTTTCATGCTCCGGCACCATGAGGTGCTCCTTACGGGCCCTGGGTTGGGGGTTCGCTCACAGCAAGCCCTTCCTGGTCCCCTCCCAGTGCCGGCCTGCGGAGTCCCCCAGATTCCTGCCTGCCAAGTGGTCTGGGAAGGGTGCCCAGGGGCATCAGCAAGGGCACCTTGGATTGACCTGCGCCATGCCTCGTCCTTCCTGCCCGCCCAGGAGAAGCATCACAGGGCCTGGCACAGACCTGCTTTGCAGAAGGGGGGCCAGAGGCTTTTGACTCACTGCTCCTGGCAGGCAGACACTCACACCTTGGTTCACTCACTGCCCGACAGCCCCCATGACCCCCTTTCCTGAACCCTCTTGCACCCTGTAGTTCTAACATGAGGTCAGGAGTTAGCCGCTGGGCGTATTTTTCCCCATCCACAGGGGGTCCACCTTGAGGCATGCCCTCTAGTGACCCCTTGCCCTGGGCGTCCCTCTGAAGGACCCTCTATCCCCCACCAGCACAGCAGCCAGTGTTGCTGCTGCTGTGAACAGGTCCACCCCCTGTCCCTGCCCCCCCCCCACGGGGCTCTGGGCAGACCTGTCTGAGCCCCTCCCCACCACCCCGGTTGCCAGGAGACTTGCACACCCCCAGCCAGCTGGGATCCTCATTCCTTGCTGGCCCAGGCACTCCCAGCTGCTGCCATGGCTCCAGCTGACTGTCCACGGCCCTCCAAGCCCCTGCTGGAGCCACAGGCAGAGCCAGACTGACCTTGTGGGGACAGGCGCTTCCTGGAGGCCTCTTGCTCTCCATCACCCTTGTTGACCTTGTGCCAGAACCACTCTGCCCTTGAGCATTGCCATCCTGTTCCAGGTGCCCTTGTGGGCAGGAACCAGTGGCACTGACTCACATAACACACCCAGCGGGAGGGAACTGGGCCTCCCTAGGCCACGGGCACCGTGAACAGGTGGAGGGGCCTTGGAAAGAATCGGTCAGCAGCATGTGCAGGGATAGCTGCCTGCCCAGGGCTCGAGGGCGGGCTGTGCTGGCCTGTCATGGGGGAGCAGTGCCAAGCACCCTACTGCACGTGTCAGCTTGGGGCCGTCCTGTGGCACACGGCTTCAAGAGGCAGCTGTGGGTTCAGCGTTGGTCACTGGTGCCAGCCTGCTGGCTGCGTGCACTATGTGGTCTAGGGCAAGGGCTGGCGTGAGGAGTTGGGTCTCACGGATTCCAGAGCTGACGGCTCTCAGGTCCCACAGAAATGGCCTATCAGTGCGGCCCAGGGTTGCTAGGAGCGGGTCTGGCACCTGCAGATAGATAGAGCCCGGGGTTGCTAGGAGCAGGCCAGGCACCCACAGATAGAACCCAGGGTTGCTAGGAGCGGGCCTGGCACCCACAGATAGAACCCAGTATCCGAATTAAACAGGTTTCCACGGCACCAGTGTCAGACACGGCCCTCTGTGGCTGGAATGAGACCAGAGCCAGATCTCTGAAACCACATCTGAACCCATACAGTGGCCCTGCCAAACCCCAAGACTGGCCAAGAAGTGTCCCCATCCTGCTGTGTGCTGCTGTGGCCACTTCCCCCAGAGACCTTCACCCTGTCAAATCTTCCAAAGCAGGAGGGCCACTGTGCTGGTCATAGACTCACCTGCGTCCCCTCCTCAGCCCAAGCCACCCAAATAGGCCAAACCAGGACGAGTCCATCCTAGCACCCAGCCCAGTCCCAACAGGTATACCATTCTAAGGTCAGATCCAAACCATTTTTCAACCAAAATGTCAGTTTGGGGATGGAATTTAGGAGTGAACCTTCCTCCTTCCCATGTATGAGACCCTGCTTTGCACTCCTAGCACCAAAAATTAAAACTTGCCTAAGTAATCCAATCCACTCATTTTCAATATTAAAAACAAACTGGCAGGGCCAGAACCATAGACCATAGGTAAGGAGTTTGCCTGGTGGCTGATCCAGATGCTATCCCAGCAAGCATCTTGTGTGGTCCCCTGAGCAGCACCAGGAGTAATTTCTGAGTGCAGAGCCAGGAGTTACCCCTGAGCAGCACTGGGTGTGGCCAAAAAAAAAAAAACCCACAAAGTGAGGACCAGAGAAATAGTACAGCGATTAGGGCACTTGCACGGCCAGGAGTAATTCCTGAATGCACAGCGAGGAGTAAGTCCTGAGTGTGGCCAGGTGTGACCTGAAAACCCAAATAAGACAAAGACACAACTCCCCATTTCCCAGCATGCAAAGCAGCACTGGCCTGAGGCATGTGGGAAAACCCTGGCAAGGATGGCCAGAGACTTGGCTCAGCATCTGCTGTGCACACGTATGGCTGAGAGTTTCATCCGCAGTGCCTCCCACGTGCACCGATGACAGTCAAGGCAGCTCTGCTGACTGACTCCCAGCACCACATGCAAACCGGCCACCCTGCAGCCAAGAGAACACTGGAATCAAAGCGTGAGGACGAGGCGTCGTGAATAAAAAATCACCCATAGCACCTGCTCTGCAGATACACAACTCAATCTCCAAGGAGATGCAAGATTCACGGATACAGCTCCCAGCTCCCCTCTGCTGACACCCCATGGCCACACACACCCCACGCTGCCACCACTGCAGCGGCCCAGCTCCACTGCCTCAGGGTCACTCTGCAGACACCAAACCTTGAAAACTCCAGGTACACCGAGTTTTCAGGCTGAGGATTGTGGGGTGTCCTCCGAGTGGGACACTGGACCTCCAGAAAGCCCAGCAGGCATGCCCACATCCCATGTGCCGCCATGTTGACTCACCCACCATCCCAGTTCTGTGTCCTGAGGTTACCACAGCTGCCTACACAGCCACATGACACCTCCCATTTCCACAACCCTGACAGCCCAGTAGGAGCGCCAAGTTAGATGGGGAAAGTAACACAGAAGCCAACAAACAAAACAACCCAGAAGGCTCAACTAGATAAAAGCAGCTTAGTAAAACCGCAGATAGATAAGAACTTAACAACCCTGGAGAGAGAAAACAATTTCGACAGATTTTATTTTACTGAAGTATTCCAGTAGCCATTTAGTTGTAAAAGGAATATAAATTACTATGTGCCTGCTAATGGGGTAGACTTGGGGGTAGTTGGGATAATGTGGACAATGGTGGAACTAATGTTGCTCTGGTTGTGGGACTGACAATGGAATACTGAATGTCTGTAACAACTGTATTATGAACTATTGTGTAAACCATGGTGTTTAAATTAAAAAAACTGGAATCTTAGCGATAGTATAGCAGGTAAGGCACTTGCCTTACATGCAGCCAAGCTGGATCAATCCCCAGCATCCCATATGGTCCCCTGAGTACTGCCAAAAGTGATCCATGGGTGTTGAGTCAAGAGTAACCCCTGATCCAAAAAAAAAAAAACAACACAACAGGGGCTGGAGCAATAGCACAGAGGGTAGGGTGTTTGCCTTGCACACGGCCAACCCAGGTTCGATTCCCAGCATCCCATATGGTCCCCTGAGCACCACCAGGAGTAATTCCTGAGTGCAGAGCCAGGAGGAACCCCTGTGCATCGCCGGGTGTGACCCAAAAAGCAAAAAAAAAAAAAAGAGTAACCCCTGATCATAAAAGAAATTGAAAATTCAGTGAGTTTAAAAGCAAATTAGACTAAACAGTTACTCAGATCAAAGCAGAGAGCAGGCTTGCTCTTCAAGCCCGTGTTCTTCCTTGCTTGTCTGTTTCTTGCTTGCCTTTTTCCACTCTGGACAAGCCCATCCTTATTGTTCATTTTCAAATGTGCTTTTCCTTTCTCTCCCTCACATCTTTTAAATAAGCTTCAACTTTTTGTTTGTTTTTTGTTTTGGGGCCAAATCCAGTAATGCTCAGGGTTTACTCCTGGCTCTGCACTCAGGAATTACTCCTGATGGTGCTCGGGGGATCATATGGGATGCCGAGGATCAAACCCGGGTCGGCTCTGTGCAAGCAAGTGTCCTACCCACTGTACGATTGCTCCAGCCCCTCAGTAAAACTTTCTTCACAAAACAAAACCAAAAAAATCAGATTGTAGTTAATTTTGTTTGTTCTTTTGGGGGGCAACGCTTGGCTGTACTCAGGGCTCACTCCTGGTAGCACTCAAGGACCATATGTGGTGCCAAGATCAAACCCGGGTTGGCCACATTCAGGGTAGTACCCTACCCACTGTATTATCTCTCCATCCCCAGATAGTGAAAAGTATTTTAAGAAGCCACAGAGAGGAAAAAAAATGAATAGAAAACAAGTAAAAGATATGAAAGTAAAAGGAGTTCATAGGTAGAGCTATTGGAAAAGACAAGCATAAAGAAAAATTAGGGTGAAGAAATCACATCAGAAAATTTCCCCTAACTAATAAGAATCAACCCACAAGCCCCTAAAGTGACACAGAAAGGTCATGCTGGCCTCGTGAAACCCCTTTAAAGTGATTTCATGGGGCCAGCATGATAATACAGTGGGTAGGGAATTTGCCTTGCACGCGGCCAACCCAGGTTCGATATCTGGCATCCCATATGGTCCCCCAAGCACCGCCAGGAATAATTCCTGAATTCAGAGTCAGGAGTAACCCCTGAGCATCACTGGGTGTGACCCAAAAAAAGCAAAAATAAATAAAGTGATTTTGTGAGCCTGTGTTGTGGGCTGATGTGCCCAGTCCTATCCCAATTTCTAGGACCTCACATTGATATCTTTTCTCAAATTAGGTCATTCCTGGCTGTGTATTCAATAAATGTGTGTGGGTTCTCTCACCACTTTCGTTGAGTCACTTCCCCACCCTGGCCTGCAGGCGCTGCCAACAGACACAGAAAGGAGGGAATAGGGCACCAGGCTAGTTAGTGATCAGTCGCCATTGATTCCAGTCTCAGTTCTACCTTTTACTCCATTCTCCCCGCGCAGTCTCACTGAGCGCCCCATTCCAGTCTCACACTGTCCCTCGTTCCTGTCTCCTACTCTCCCTGTGCCCCATCTCACTACCTTCAACTGCAGCCCAACCTCCACGGTTTGGGGGTAGCAACTACACACAGGTCAGACAACACAATCAA